TGTTCATGACTCTTCATGAAAATATGACTCTTTGTAAAGAAATGATTTTTCATTTATGTTTCTATATGAAGAGATGATTCTTCATGAAGTGTTTCATCAATTAAGGAGAGATTACCAATAATGACTTGTGATGTCTATATTAACAAATTACATTAATCATAATCTATGTTTATCAACTACATAAGTATATATATGAGTGAAAGATTCCTAAAACATGAAAAGTGTTGGATTGCATTACATAATTGGGACTAGTAGATTTAAGACAATGTGTTTGATGTATTTGTTCACTTGGGCGTAGGTAGCCATAGCGGGACCAGAACAATAGGGTTCAATTTTCAGATGTGGGACTCACACATGTCTTGATCAAGGTTTTTCAAATTGCACCCACAGCGACTGAGGAACACTATCACATGTGGTGGTTTTAATTCAATGATTCCAAAACCTTTAAACTCTTATTTTGTTTATCATTCAATGTATATAAAATCCTTTTGGATGGTGATGATTCCTTGCGCTCAGTAGAAAACAACTGCAGCATCGAGTTTTACACGGACCCATGATAGTCACAATGTGGCACTGTCTCTAATGTCACCCAATTACAGAAAGTGTAGTACTTCATATCATTATATATATATATATATATATATATATATATATATGTTAGGAAATATATATATGATTTTAGTCTTTTAAATTTATGGTAAATTTATTTTTTGATTCTTTAAATTTAAAATTATTGTTTTTAGTTCATGTAATTTAAAAAATCTTATTTTAATTTTTATATTTAAATTTTGTTAAGAAATTTGTTATTACATAAAATTTACTTATTAGTATTTCTGTTAATGAAAACATCACATTAAATTTAATTAATATTACATAATTGTCTTAATCACGAAAATCACGAAAACGTAACAAGGTCACGAGAAACAACATTGTATTCGCTATATTAAGTAAGTGTGCTATGTTTGGTAGATCTGTCATAACTAGTGCATGCAAACATAACGTGAAAACTTGAAAGGTGCTCTTATGTTCAAAGAATGTAAAAACTTGAAAGGTGCTCTTATGTTCAAAGAATGTAAATATACAGAAGTCACTGATCGATGTATCTACACATCTAGACTCAAACTTGTGCATTTTGTGCATAACCCAATTAATATCCGTTACCTTTTAACATGTTAAATTCAAAGTTGTTTTCATCTAGACTATATATACAAGATTTTGTATTAATCTAAAACTATTTAAAACCTCAAAAGTATTTTATAAATTTTAATTATAATATAATTTATATATTCAAAGATTTTCTTTTACACCAATTAAGTATTTATTTGTCATAAATTATTGTGATATAAAATAAATATTTATGGTACTTGTTTTGTATTTAAGTTGGTTTTGCTATTGGGCCAGTGTTGTCCAACATTAATAAAGCAAATGTGTAGTCTGAGAAAATAGCCCAATCCTTCCTAAGTCATGAACATTCCAGTATTCCCTCAAGCAATTGACATTACCCCGGCAATATTAAGCATGCAAAAGAGATCAGGGCCGACCTAAATATAACGCATATAAGGCTCAGTCTTAGTTTTAGGTTCCTAAAATATTTTTTTATTTATAAAATTTAATGAATCAGTTAGTATTAATTTTGGTTTATTAATCATTATCTAAGCCTAATATTGTAAAAATTAAATTTTAATATTATATTTTTTTGTTGAAAGTTTTTTTTTATTTTTTTATTTATGGATGATTATTAATTTTCTTGTCACTCTCTTTTATTAAAAGGACTCAACTTCAAAATTCACTTTAAGTCTTAAAATATGTTAGATGGGCTCTGCAAGAGATATCAAGTGCACTCTCTCTAACTTACTAGAGTAATTTACTCTATTATTTTATTCTAGTTTATTTCAATAACATGAACTTCAAAGTAAAAAAATAAAAATAAAAAAGTGAAATTTGGCATGAGAGAAACTTAAAAGAGACGAGGCTTGATTTTAAATTTTGACTTCTACAATCTCCAGTCCGCTTATGTTTACTAAATTGGTTTAATTTACTTTTAAAATAACCATGATAACAGTTCTTTTAGAGGAGTTAAGCAGTTAAGCTTAAGGAGCGCGTTTTGTTCACAAAATCTTTTTATTTTTATGAGAATTTTAACTAAAAATCTTGATTTTTGGTAGTTATTTAAAATAAAATGTTTTCAAGAAATATGATTTTTTAGAACCATTTTTACCTCACTTTTCTAAAAAAAAAAAAAACAATTTGATGGGAGAGTAAAAATCCAGTTTTCTTAAGTTAAAAGAGAAGTTTTGAATATATAAAAATATTATAATATTCCTTTTAAAATAGAAAAGTTAATTAATATTTTTTTTATTCATTATCACTTGAATAACAAACACAAAAATGTATTAAATTCATTAACTAATTAAAATATAAGTTAAATTAAATAATTCATTAGACATATTATTTTTTTTTATCACTTTTAATTATATTATTCTTTTAAAAAAAATAAGTACAATGCTTCATGTATAAATTTTTAATAAATTATTTTATTGTATTTTTTATTAAAAAATATTTTATTGTTATTAGGTAAGAATTATATAAATTTTATAAGATATGGTATTTTATAGTTATTTAAAAATATAATTTATAAAATTGCTTTGCTAATTTTTTATTATGATTTTTAGCTTCTAAATTTAACAAATTATTTAAGCAAACTAATCCTATATATGTTTTTTTAATTGTTTTCTTGTTTACTTATATTTTTAATTTAATTGTTATTTTGATTATTAATTTAACTTTTTTTTTTCTTATTATGCTAAATCATAAAAGTTATATTTTACACTTTGATCTACTGTGATTTTACATATAGTTTAATCTTATATAAATTGTTGGTTTTTTTATTTTAAGTTAAATATGATATATTATTTATATGTTACATTATGACATACACACTGCAAGGAAGAAGAAACTCATTTTTTTAAAGATTATTTTTGTAAAAAAATTATATAGCTAAGAAATATTGTAACCAAATGTGATAATTTTAATTTTCTAGAGAAACTTATATTAATATTTCTAAGAATCTTTATGAATAATTAAATGAATTTTAGCTATTCTCAAGAATCATAATTACGAGATTTGTAATTATCAAAAATCATGTTTCCCATGTATGAAAAAATTACTCCTCTATCAAATGTCTCCTAAAAGTAAATTTTAGTAGAGTTTTTCAAATTTATGACTTACCGTATTAGAAATGTCACACACTCTTTTAAATACATTCTTTCTAATTAGTTAAAATTTATTAAAAAAACATAAATTTTAGTAAGTCTCACACCCTATTTAATGATTTTTTTATTATGATTTTATAGTTTTCATTATTTTTTAACAAATAAGTAAATATATTAAGATAAGTGTGTTATCCTTACAATATATATTAAATTTCAACAATTCAATCATTAAAATAAAACTTTATATCAAATAGATTAAGTTTATAAATGTTTTTGAAATTTAAAAATATTTAATATTTCATTATATAAATTATAACTTTTAAAATTTATAAATTTAATTTATTTAATAAATTTTTTTAATTTAATAATTAAATCATTAAAATTTAATATATACTAGGTGAAATCTACTAAGATGAAGTCTTTTGTTGAAAACTTGAAATACTTTGACGGTCAAGATGAACTAGTGGAGAGTCAATATATAATAAAACTTATCTATATTTTTTGTCATTGTTTTCATAGGATTTTTTATGGTCAAGTGAGCTAGAGTCACCCAATTTTGTGGTACATCTATTACTCCCATAAGCCTAATAATTTGAAAACATATATGCCAGTAGTTTATGTTCCATTTTATTTTTTAAAATATCCAGATGAAAGTTAAGGACTAATATTTTGAGATATTAAAATTTATTTAAAAAAATTATCTCTCTTTCCAAAAATGTTTTTTTTCACACATACTGATATCTTTGTTTAAGGGACAGTTATCTACCCCTTTAAAATTTACTAAATGTTTTATGTTCCGCCTTTAATCCATGAGGTTGATGCTTTTGGATACATCCATTAGTCTTATAGAAAAATATACGATTTTGCTTTGAATTGTTGTGTTACCACAGTGACTTGAAAACTCTTTGGGCAAGTGGTGGTCACAGCTAATGAGATTAATTTTTGTGCAAATATTCTGGAAGAAAAAAACAGTACAAACACGTTAAGTTTGGGCCAGGCTAAACCCGTGTGGAAAAATGTGCAATGTTATGTAAACACTCGAATCTGCGTTGAGGCTGAAATTGTGACTATGAGTGTGAACTCTTTAACTAGATGGGCTATAAACTCTTTAGATAAGATTTTAGGAAGAGGGCATAAGTCCAATCTTTCAAAATTTTGGTAACTAAAAAGAAAAGAAGAAAGAGAAAGGACTCTTCTATAATGCTGCAATATCATTCTTACATTGTCATCCCATGTTAATGATGTTATCTTTTGTAATGAACTGCTTCTGTGTATCCGGAGAGAAACCTAAACAGTAAAGGCTAATTTGACTACTTTTACAATTATTTGTTTTTGACATAAGTTTTTTGATTAACTACATAACAAATCGTATTATACTAATTCAGTTAAAAAATTTAGCTACATATTCTATCAGTCTAGTTAGTTTCTTTATTGTAAACCTTAATCTCATCTTATGCTGTTATTCTTGCTCGGCTCAAACAAATTTGCTTCAAAAGTTTTGACAGGATGTAATTTATCTTTCCTTATGAATGAATATATGTATTGAAGTTTCTTCACTGGTCAGTGGCTAATCAGTCAAAAAAGAAGTGAGTCACAAAAGTTAAAATGAAAGTAAAATTCATCACTAATGCTGATCCAATTTTCCCTCCTTGCTATACCAAATACAAACTCAAACAGAAAGCACCAAAGACCCCAACAAAAACATCGATGATAATGTTATTCTATCAATAACCTGCTTAAGGCAGCATTTGGCAAAATTTTAGTCATATATAGACAACAACTTACAAGTAACAACACCAATTGAAATCAAGAAATGTATAAATTTAATATTCTTTGACATTACAATCATTCATCATAAAACAATAGGCTTTCAGGAGGCCTACACTGCTATACACCAGTTGGACACTAAAGAGTATAGACTAACGACCCAATTAAAATTAAGAGAATTTTTTTCTTCTTTTCTTCCTTTTTCATAACAAAGTAAGAATGCTAGTACACTCACTGAACTGTGTTACACATACCAGGATTCCTAACACACCAAAGTGGCTGAATAGGTTCAGCCCCTATTCCTCTACTTACCATTCTACTTCTCCATTCATTCAATCTATCAGTGGCCTCAGCATATCTCTTCCTCCCCTTCTCATCCCTATTCCCGGACCACAGTGCCTCAGCCAATGCACAACTTCTAGGCCAAATCCTTGCATCCAAAACAGGTGTATCAGCTTGTTCTGACCACAGTGCTACCTCCCCACCCAAAACCAACTTTGCTTCTTCCTCACTCAACCCATATGCTATATCATAGTCATATATCGTTTGCCATGTCTTAAAGGGTCCACACCAAGATCCACCATCATCTTTCACATTCCCATTTTGGTCATCATAGATGCTATTATTCCCCACAAAGTCACCATGCCCACAATCCAAGTAATAGAATTGTGATGAAGACACAATGGTTCTGTATCCAGAAGAAACTAACTTCTTGGTGTTGTTGTGCCCATTGTTCCATGTTTGCAGAATCACATGCTCCTTGGGGAGCATTGTGGATGGCACATGGACTGTGTCATCTAGCAAAACGTCTTCCCAATAGACAACGGTGCGGTTGAGGGACAAAATGAAAGGGAGGGTGTTGTTGATGAACTTCTCAAGAAGTTGGCTTAGAGTGCCACCGTCTGATAGATACTTCTGAATTGTGGGATCGGTTTTCCAGCAACCTGGTATAACCTCATCAGCACCTGAGTGGTAGAATTGTTCTGGGAACAATGTGGTTGTGTCACGTATGACATTCTTTAGGACTTGGTAAGTCTTGGGGTTTAGAGGGTTCAAATGACCTGTTCCTGGTTCTGCAGCAAGCAAATCACCCTCAGCTGGCCACCAGAACATGTTGGCACAAGTTACAATGTCAGGGTAGGCTAATGCCCAAGATCCTGTGTGCCCTGTCAATATGTGGTTCATAGTTTCATACCAATCAGTGATCATCATAATTATAAGAACTTGTGAAGCTGAATTATTGAAAGACGAAAAGAAAGGTTGGTTTTCAATCAAAATGTAATATCATTGCAAAAACAATGTTTGTAACTTGATACATACAAGTGCCTAATTAATTTTGTTTATTGTCCTTATGATTACATAAGAAATACTAGCAAATCACTTTTTTACACACTTCTTTTAATACACTCTTTCTTATTAAAATTTACAAAAGCAGGAGCAAACCCAAGAATTTTGTAATTTTCGATATATTTCAACCAATCAAAAAGAGCTTGTTTGAAAGTGTAACATTTAATGTGTTCCTAGCATATCTCCTAATTATAAAAATTAGTTTTCTGTTTCTTTGTGTGTGAAGTTCCAACTTAAAAGAACATTCTCATGGTAAGGTGCAGTTAATGATCCTTTTTTGCTTTATCAATATAGACTTCCATTATTTTAATCACCAATAGAAACATCACGTTGACAGAGAACATAATATTCTATGGTTAGCTGCAGCCATAAAACCTTATGTTTTGCCAATATACACCTTATTGTAATCACCATCCCTAGAGCCATCATTTTGTAATGCTTAATATAAACGAAAATAGGCAAAGGTGAGTTGAAGTCTTTCTTAGTTTGGTATAGAAGGAATAGAAAACAAGACACTGACTCCAAACAGACGAAGTTCCTACTATATCAGTACACTAAGGATCATAATAGAAGGAGGCCCCCCAATCAGCTATAAAAACAACACAAAGGTTCCCTTCATGCAGCATAAAAGTAAGGTTCCAATCTTTGTTTCAGAGATCTAAAATCCAGGATAACATCTCAGATTCGCTAGAATCTAGTATAAAAAAATTGCATTGTCGATCAGAATGAAGACCTAAACTTTACCAAAAATATCTTTTTGGTTACTAGGGAGGTGTATGATTTGCTATGGGGATGGAGTGGTATGCTAAAGTGCAGGCAGAGTGACCTAGCTCGAACTCGATCACTGGATCAAGCAATTCCAAAGGAATTCAGAGCCAATTGATGTTTGAGATATTTTCAACAAAAAATTTTGGTATCAAACTCGAGTAATGTTTAAAAATTGGAGATAATGCACATTTTGATTACTAGGTGGCAATTGTAAGTCCCTTAACTAATAATTGGCTGGCACTCTGACTGGGAAACAAAAAAATATACATACTTAAAAACAGATTCCTACATTTAAAAGACGAATATCTTAAAAGACACCAAAAGCAACATCATGGAATAAGAAATAGTTAGTGTGATTCTTGCTTTTCATGAGATACACATATCCCCTCTAATATATTATCTGTTACTCTGCAAGTCTAAGTAAAATAACCCTTTCAAAAACTGCCACCGATAGAAATTTTTTTTTATGAATGTATAAACACATTTTTCAAAACTCTTGTTCATTCTGGTATTTGTATAGTTATACACCAGTTCTAACTCTGTCTGTCTCGTTTGAAAAACAAAATTAACACCTAAACCTCACAACCAAAATGTTCAGCTGGAAATGACTGGAACTAGGTTCTGATGAAAAATAAATAAAATCTACGAAGTAAGAATTTATGAAAATTAAACAAAATGTTCACTTATATACACTAAATTGGACATATTTGAGATCTCCAACAATTGTGATCAATTAATTATTTAATTAATTCAGCAATAATATTTACACTCCACACAACTAGTTAATTCCTTGAAGTGACAAATACACACACAAAAAAAAAAAGCATAGTAATCAAACACATTTCAATTAATCTATTAATTCAGAACTGTTGTTCAAGCTGAAAGTGAAATCGTTCTAATGCAGCTCGTGACCCCAAATAACAAAACAAAAACAAATCCAAAAAAAAAAAAAAAAAACTTCCTAACAAACTCCAAAAGTAAAGGGAATTGAACTAACCAGGTGAGTCAATCTCAGGCAACACACGAACCCCACGATCAAGACCAAACTCCACTATTGTTTTCACATCCTCTGGTGAGTACACCATGTGAGACGCATAAGCACCCTTTTCAGCCAAGGTAGGCTCAGAAGGAAGCACCAAGGGAAAAGAGTGCGAGTCCGTAACATGCCAGTGGAACACGTTGAGCTTGTTCATGCTCATGGCTTCCACTGTCCTCAACAAGTCCTTCAAAGGGTAGTAGTTCCTTGAAGTGTCCACCATGATTCCACGGTGGGCATAGATGGGAGAATCCCACACGTGCACTCCCACTGCAATGCACGTGGGGCGGCCCCATGCGAGTTGGGAGAATGTCTCCAGGCCTCGCATGGCGCCCCAAGTTGTATTTGCAGTGAGAGTGGCCAAGGAAGGGAGGATGGATAGTGTGTAGGATTCGTCCACATCATGGACGAGTCCTGCATCGGGATCGACAATAGTGAGGGTGAGGGATTCTAGTGGTGGAAGGTTTGTGGAGATGTTGACCCCAGGGGGGACAAGTGGGTGGTGGTGTTCGGTTTTTACGAGGTTTTGGATGCGGGTGACGGCGGCGGAGAGGTGTTTGTTGTGGTGGGGCGTTGTGGTGGTGATGGTGAATGTGGAGGCTATGAGGGTGGCTTGGTATGGTGGGGTCCACGTGAGGTTTCTTGGTTTGGGCCACACGTTGATGATGGTGGTTGAGTGTGTTAGGCATGAGCATGACAAGAGGAAAAGTAGTTGTAGTAGTAAAAGCAGTGTTGGTTCACGTTTTGTCATGGTGGTACGAGGAATTGGTTGTGTTTATTCATGGTTGTGGTGGATGATGAAGTGTTATATAGGAGGATCATGATGTGTGTTTTGAAAATGGATGGAACTATGGAAGTGCTTTAAGAGTCAGAAGCTTCATCGGACAGCTATTCTATGTTTTGTTTTTCTGTTGTTTGTTTGCTTGTTGGTTGGACTATGTGCCTTTGACACTTCCGTTGGTTTCATTTGGATGGAATTGATTTAGAGTACAAGGACTGCACTAATAAATTATTGAGTAATAATTGTATATTCATTAACAAATTAATAGTCTACTAGTTAAAGAATCAACAACTGATTTTTTTTAATAGAAAACTAATTATAATAAAATTATGTGGATAAAATTATAAATACATTTTTTAATAAAAACTGTCCACTTTTAACCTATTAAACCTTGTTCTTAAGATTAGCATATCTTTCTAATAATATTTAGGACAAAATACATGCATTTGTATACAAATTGTTTATTTATTAAAAAATCTTGGTAGAATAAGAATTATTTATTCACTAAAAGTTTTATAGAATTGTTTTTATATGTGTTTTGTTCTTATATTTATGTACAAAAAAAAAAAAAAAAAGCTTTGTTCTCATTTAATGTATTTATCAAGCTTGTTATTTTTACAGAAAAAATCACAATTATACTGGGATTAGAATAAACTATCTTTTATAATAATTTTTATTTATTATCGGTGTAAAATGTACATACATATTAAACTCTTAATATTTTTTGTTGAAAGTAACGATTAATCTACGTGGATATTCCCCTTAATCATACATAATGAAAGTATTTTTCTCCTAGTCTATTTCATAGATAAGGCCAAATTTACTTAATAATTGATTAACGTTTGATTTTATTTCGAAATTGAATCAGATTGTGGTTTTTTAATATATTTTCCCTTCTGGAATACCAAGTGTATTTTTAAGTTAAAAAATAGGAAATAAAAATACACTTGACATGAAAAACTAATGTCAACATTACATTTTTTTCGGTGTTCACCATCTTAAAGGGAAAATATTTTTCAAAGCAATCTCTCCTTCATAAATAATTAATTTTGAAAAAATCCATTTTTTGTCTGACAGTCGTGTTTTGTGTGTGATCTTAGTCGAATTTTTTACGTAAATAATATTTTTTTAAAAAAATTATAAAAATAATATCTTTGCAACTTTATTTACAGAAGTAACACTAAACATTGTTCACGTTCAGAATTCGGTTCTCCGGGAACTAAATTCTGAGCCTTAATAATTTTTTTTTATCAGAATTCGGTTCTCGAAAAACTGAATTCTGAGTTGTTTTAATTTTTTTCCGGGTTTGTGACCCATTTTGGACGAATGTTGGAAGTGGAACAGCCCGTTCCGGAAGCAGAACGGACCGTTCTACTTAAACACAGAGTCTTTTTTTTTAAAATAAAAACGGGCTAAGAACGGGCCATTCTAGAGTTAAGCTTTTACGCATAAGTTGATTTCTAAAACGGCCCATTTAAAAGTAGGATTTTAGTTATTTTTTTTAAGCTGGAACAGGCCGTTCCAAAACAAGAACGGCCTGTTCTAGAATAGGAATTTAAACACTTTTTTTTTAATTTGGAACGGCTTTGAAAAGACCCGTTCCAAGATACGTTTTTAGGCATAAAACAGCTGTTTGGAATGGGCCATTCTGGTTTTTGAACGGTCCGTTCTGGGAAAACAGTGAATCCGCTGCTTTTCTTATAAATAGGCCCTTTACCCTTCATTCTCTCCACACAGTTTCAACTTACCTTGACTCCTTTATTCCTTCCATGTACCCCTTCTAAATCACTTTCTTAAAATCACGTTCATTTCCTTTAAACCTTTCATAAAATGACTTCTTCAATCTACGTTATTGTTCATTCAGATGGTTCCATTAACCAATGTCCGAATGAAGGAATCACCTTCTCCTCTCCATCTGCAAAATTAGTTCGTATCAAGAGAGGAATTACTCTAGAAAGGCTACAAAGAGTCATCCACACAAAGTACATCGATAAGATTCTGAGAGGGTGGCTAGCATACAATTTTGGTACCCTATTAGACTTGGCCCAGGGGTTAGTAACTATACCTGTGTTGAGTTAACTGATGATGAAGACGTTGAGCCACTTTTCAATGTTCACGATTCTAATGAACTTCAATCAGGTATTGAATTATATGCTACCTTTACTACAATTGAATCACATGCACCACAAGTTTCACCTTCAACTTCACCTTACGAAATTTATCAAAGTTACCAGAACACTAACCCATCTGGCCCTTCTTATGATATCCCCTCCAACTACGACATTGAGTCATACACACAACTTTTAACTGGTCCAATCATGGACCTTAACCAAATACATTTTTAGCCATTTGACCAAGCTACACCTTCTGCGTCTCAACCCAATGTTCAAACCAACATTGAAGATCATCTTGTTGTTGGTCTCCCAACAGAAAATGTGTTTGATCCTTTTAGCGAGGACGAAGACGAATTCCTCTTTGCACATTAAGATGATGATGAAGAAACCCTCCCAGTTCCAAATAATCCACCACTAGAACCAGTAGCCATATACAACCCACCTCCACACTTTTTAGAGTTTCCCAATGAAATCCAACATGACACTGAGTATAGCCATTTGTTGGAGCGTGATATGGTTGTGTATCCACCTGGAACACTATTTGTTGGCCAACGCTTCCAAACAAAAAGAACAAATGCAGGACGCTATAAATAGATTTCACATTGTTAACCATTGCACTTACAAGGTTAAACACTCAAGCACTAGTAGGCTTCTTATGGAATGCGTTCACCACGACTGTGCCTAGAGATGTCGTGGTATATTGCGCACCAGGGAACAACATTGGGAAATCATGATCCTTGAGGGCCCCCACACATGTGTTTCCCCACTTATCTCCCAAGATCATAATAAATTGGGATCACAAATGATTGCTCAAAGCATTGGTGAAATTATTGAGGTTGATCCATCGACATCCATTTCAACCATCATAACCCACATCAAGTCCACCATGGGTTATACAATTAGTTACAGAAAGGGATGGTTGGCCAAGCAACATGCCATTGAGAATATCTTTGGAAACTGGGAGGAGTCGTACAACAAGTTACCAGGTATGTTGCAAACAATGCAAATGTATGTTCCATGTTTTATTTGGAAATTAAATACGCAACCAGCTTACCAAGGTGGCTTATTGGACGAGGGGAGTGTTATATTCAAAAGATTATTTTGGACCTTTAAACCATGCATTGATGGTTTTGCCTTCTGCAAACCAATTGTACAAGTGGATGGTACCTTTTTATACGGGAGATACAAAGGTATGCTATTGGTCGCAGTTGCGCAAGATGGTCGCAACAACATACTTCCTATTGCATTTGCTATTGTTGAAGGTGAAACTAGCGATGCATGATTTTTTCTTTCTTAAGAACTTAAGGCGGTATGTAACACCGCAAGATGGGTTGTGCCTTATTTCTGATCGTCATGAGGCTATTCGAACCGCATACTCAAGAAATGGAAGTGGCTGGATGGAAAAAAATTTTGTCCATGTCTATTGTATTCGACATATTGCAAAAAATTTCATGCGACGATTCAAAAATGCAGCACTGAAGAAGGATTTCGTCAATATGGGTAATTTTATCATTACTTTTTTTAAACCATTTGATTATTACTTTTCATTATTTAATAATTTTTTATTTTGCAGCCTACAGGATGACTGAACCTAGATTCTTTTAATATTACAACATAATAAGAGATACTAATGTTGAAGCAGCTCAATGGTTAGACAACATTCCTAGGGAAAATGGACACTGGCATGGGACAATGGACGATGTTGGGGACACATGACAACAAACCTAGCTGAGTCAATTAATTCCGTATTGAAGAAAACACGAAATTTGCCAATTTGTTCCATGATAATGGCCATATACACTCGTTACAACAAGTTTTTCGTTCAAAGAGGTAGGGAAGTGGATGCAATGATTAATGATGGACATGTCTACTCGGAAATTGCAAATAAAATTATTCGAGATGCACAATCTAAGGCAAATACTCATAGAGTTATCACCTTTGACAGATCAAGCAGTAGATTTCTAGTGGAAGAAACGCAACATTCCAGAGAAGTTCGACCAGTTGGGAGATTTGCAGTAAGGCTTGATGAATTGTGGTGTGATTGTGGCAAGTTCCAGAAAGTTCATATCCCTTGCTCACATGTACTTGCTTCATACTTATATGCATATCACGACTTTCAAAGCTACATATCTCCCATATATACTTTACAACAAGTTGCAAAGGTATACGAAAGACAGTTTGGAGAGCTTCGACATGAAGATTATTGGCCTACTTACACTGATCCAACTTTGTGGCCAAGACTGTAACAAAGATAGGCACAATATATGTCATGCGATGCCATGCCCAAGACTGTAACAAAGATGCACAAACACCCATTGTTTTGCTGCTAACATTTGTAGCCCTACACATTTCCCTATATAACATAGCTAAAAAAGCCGACCCCCAACTATATACTTGTCCTTCTAAGATTTATTAATAAAGATAAATACATAAGATGGACCTTATTGCCTGTTTTGTCAGACATCAAAACACCTCCTATTAAACCTAATATATATGCTCTACAATGTGCATGAAGTTGTTCTTGAGATGGTAATTCTAACATATTTTCTCTTAACCATTTTAACTTAATCATAGAGCCAATTAATGACTCACCTTTAACTGGAACGATTCCGAGATACGTGGAGCACATATCCTCCCATTCATATAATATTGGGCTAATGACTGGTAAACCATCAACTCTTAGGCCAAGTTGAAGTGCAACATCCTCCAGTGTTATGGTGCACTCTCCTATTGGAAAATAGAAGGTATGAGTCTTAGGTCTCCATCTTTCAACCAAAGCTGTGATTAATGCGTGATCCACTTTCAGATGTCTGAGGTTTGCAACCCCAGAAAAACCAACTTCCTCTAGTATAGGAACAATTAGAGGGTGGGGTTCTGACATTGAATGACGGTAAGAGTAAATAATATTCCCAGTATCCTGTAATAATTAACAAAATTAGTACTAATTTGTTACAAGTTCATTGAAATTTAATGTAAATAATGAAAGTGTTAAACTTATTACCATTCTACCAATGAAGGCAAACCTATGCTCA